CAGGCAAAATGTAAAGTTGTCCACCTTCACCGTTTGCCCAGATATAACCATGATCCAGGAATTACCTAATCGGGGCGATCAGGGTTTAGAAGGGGGGAAGTGTACCCGAAATGGCCTGGGGTACTCACGTTTGGAATGGGGGATCGAAATTCATGGTATTTCAGTAAATGGGAGCCCCATTTGGGCTCCATTTACTGTCAAATATGACACTGACAAGCGGGAAGTTTCTCACCTGTTCTGGAGATTTCGAGAACTATCTGGAATACCTGCAGGAAACTATATAAGCGACGACGAGAACCACACAGAGAAGTGAAGTGACAGGAGCGACCAGGTGCAGAAGAAGGTTAAACCCGCGAGTCGGAAACGCGTGTTTTCCGTGTGTTATTGTTATCGTTTGTGAAGTTGACCGTAATTTTGAAGTTAGTTTGTTCCTGTTCCGTTATTAAAGTTGTACCGAGTGGAATAAAAGTTGGAAGCAGAAGAAATAGTTTGATACTCGGCCATCTACGGTACAATATATTACTGGATGCCCGAGTTACGTTTTATTTTCTATAAAAAAATATGTGGAGTCGCCATGTTTTCAGTTCTTAGATGCTCTATTGAAATGTTCAATTATGCCAATAGTTTTGTATCTAAATGCTTACTTAGTAAGCGAAGCTGTTTTTTACGTTACGCAGTAACAGACCTGCGAGCTGCGAACAAAAACAGATAGAAGACGGTTTGTCTAAAGTATTTTTAAGAAACTTGGAAAGTATTTTTTTCTTGAGAAAAGTCGTTCCGTTTAGTTTTTTTATTTTATTGTCCGAAAAACCATTTTTTGAATACAGAATATTAAGAAATAATCAGATTACTTGTACTACACATCCATCAAAAAGGTGCATCGCTTTATTCGACTCTGTGGGTATCCTACTGCAAAGTTGTAAATAATTCATTTTTTATAATTATTGAGTGTCTTGAAAAATCACTAAGGGATTTGAGTCCCTGATCCTCAGAATAGTTTGCCCCAAAATTAGTAAGAAACAATATATGGAGTTTGTTCACGCATTATCTGCTGAATGCCGCGATAACAAATTGAACTTTTTTCCCAAGTTACTTATGTGAAATACCCAATCCGAGTGTCGACATAAACAACCAAATACATCTTTAAAAATACGTCCCTTATGATAAGTGTTTGGAAATGTTTTCATCATTTCCTTTTTCTGTGCGGTTACATTTCCGATTTTATGTAAGTAATAATTGCAAAATAAAGATCCTTTTGCTCATCAGTAGTTTTGAAGCCCTGCACTTTTCGGTGTAATAATCAATCCACACGGAGAATCAGCAATTTGTATGCGGGATCAAGTAGTTGAAAGCATTGGATGGAAAAAGTACATAGTCGTTTAACATAACGGAAAAGTTGAAATCAAAAGTACTGAAAACCCTTGTGCACCTGACGTGGACTGAATACCAGTAGGTGCATGTTTACAGATAGAATTAAGGCCCCATTAACTGTAGAAGCCATATCTGGTTACCATTAAATACTGTTATGAAATAAGACCTAATCGATAGCTTGTTGAAACCCCCAATGTTTAAGGGAGTCTTTGGTATACCATTTACTCAAAGCCTTGGGTCGCTCTGTGGGGAGATAAATAGAAAAACTGGCTTTTGTCAATAAAACGTTACTTGTTGGGCTTGATTTAGAAATTTGGTCACATTTATATCGAGTGGTACACATTTGACTCTACTTGTCATTTCAATGAGCCTCTGGACTTTTAATATAGATATTGATACGGAAAATTCCCCAGTGTGGGCAGATGTTTTCAGTGTTTCTACTGGAATTTTAATAGAGCATCGTTTAATCAGCAAACAATGTTTTCGATAGGTAACATGAACTGGATATAATAATAGGAATTATGATGAATTCCGGCAGATCCTTTCAAAAATGCCTTGGAAATCGGCCATTTCTGTGGAAAATATGATGGAAAAACCACTTACCTTTTCACATAGCGTTTTTACTTGATTTTCTGTTAATTGCTTGCAGTCGTTTAGTTGTTCAATCCACTGGTCCAACTCCTTAGAAGACGCCTTGTCATCTACGGCCATCGTAGCGAACTCCTTTTGCACAGAAATGTATTAGTGGAATTCAAAACCCTATTCTAAGGCTAATTCCCGTTGAAAATAGTGTAAATTTAACCGCAAACGGACACTCTTTAATAAACTTGGTAGACAAAACACAACAGTGCAAAATGGCGATGGCTCATAGATTTTTGACTAATTTTTCCGGCCAGGATGCGCATGTCCCGGCCCTTTAAACGTGGCGGCTAATTTGAAATCTATTGGAAATATATCAGGGATCGATACTCTACAAAAAACTTTTCCATACTTTACCTTGTCCGTTTTCCCTTCAATATTTAGGGCGTCATTTCCCGATTTTGCTGCTGGAATGGCTTTTACCGGCGCGGTTTTCATTGTTCAAAAAGTCCGCCACAGCGTGGACCAAATAGAGTGAAGATCAATTATGAGGAAATGGAATCGGTTTCGAATAATTTAAGCGTTTCACTTTCAAATTAAATCGTTTGAAGAATTTGCATAAATTAATGTACGAACTTACCATAAGTCACTTGTCATTGGAAACTGGAATCTTTGACGTATTTATCAAGGAAGATTTGGAATGAAAAGGTTTTATTGACTTCAGTGATTTGGGAAATTGAGCTGTTTTCTCTTTAATGTTATTTAATTGAAGAAAACGACCTATGGGGATCAGGATTGACGCTGAAGCTAGAGAATCCACCTAATCACATATGCGAGTAAATGGCAAGTCGAAGAGAGCAGCTCTCTACTGGTAAGTAGCATTTTTTTAAAATTAATGCCGTTATAATAATAGAATTCGAAAGGAACCTTACTAATTTGAAATAAATAATTTTTTTATAAATATGTGTGTATGATGGGCATTTAGGTTGTGCGCCACCTAGAGGCTTCTTCCGTCTCATATAATAAGAAGTATTTTGGAAGGAAGCATTTAAATCATTTAAATGTCCGCCTACTAAAAACAACATCATAACGAAAGTCTGTAGTTTCATAGAATAAAAATAGTCAAAAAAATATTTTCATTGTAGTTTGAAGCACAGCTTTCAAGTACTCTCCAAAAAATTGGTTCAATTTCAAAATAAAACATGCACACTAAAAATCTCACTCACAGATGCCAGCACGCAGCAACACATTCATGTGTCAAAAAAACTGTGGTTAGAACTGCAAAGTTTTGTTTACATGTATTTCAAAAGCTACAAATTTGCATGAAACAGCCAGATATATTGCAAAAACAATGGCTTTAGATCTTGCAAATGATGACCAAATTATCCTGGCTAGTGGTGGATATGACCATACCATTAGGCTGTGGCAAACATCATCGGGCATATGCCAGAAAACCCTACAACATTCAGAATTTCAAGTAAATGCTCTGGAAATTACTCCAGATAAAAAGGTTTTGGCTTCAGCCAGTTACCAGCATATTTATATGTATGATTTAATAAGCGGGAGTGCTACTCCTGTTGTAAATTACGAAGGCACTTCCAAAAATGTTACTTGTGTAGGATTTCAAGAGAATGGACGCTGGATGTATTCAGGTACTTACTGAAAATGAACTGCGCTGGTTTCGATATTGATTGGGTTGTTTTAGGTGGTGAAGATGGGAGAGCGAGAATCTGGGATCTTCGGTCTAAGTCCAATCAATGCCCTAAAAGTTTCGATACTCGTCATGGAACAGGCACAAATCTATCCCCAATTAATTGTGCAGTTCTACATCCTAATCAAATAGAACTTTTTATGGGTAGATTTGATATCTTCCCATATCATTCCCTTTTTATACAGAACTATTTACAGGAGATCAAAATGGTCGAATTTACCGATGGGACCTGAGAACGGACCATAACGTGCAATTAATACCTGAAAATGATGTCATGATACTGGGTATAGATATTTCCCCAAACAGTGCTCAAATGGCTTCCGTCAACAACAAGGGCATGGCTTACATATGGAATCTCAGTTCTTCTGGTACGTAATAATAATTCGGCTAAATTAAATATAGTATATCTAAGTATAGTATACGTGTTATAGGATCGGATGCAAGCACCACTTTGGAACCGAAAAATAAATTCCAAGCCCATTCGAGGGCTGTGTTGAAATGTAAATACTCTCCAGATTCCAGAATGTTGATTACGACGTCTGCAGATCAAACAGCAAGGATTTGGGATTCACAGGAATATAATTTGCAAAGAGAATTGACGCAAAATAATCAAAGATGGGTATGGGATGCGGCCTGGAGCGCTGATAGTCAATATGTTTTCACTGGTAAGTTTTCAGTTCGTATTCGAAAAAATGTACATAGTTTTATGTGAACATTTTTAACGGAAGTATCTTACTTTATGGTGATGGCAACTCGTGAATTTCGATTTGGTACCAACTCATTTTGCATTAAGCCATTATTATTATACTACTATGCAGGTTCTGCAGGGGACAATGGAATTTACACATTGTTGTATGTTAACATTTTCAGCCTCTTCTGACAACTTTGTTAAATTGTGGAATGTTGCGACTGGTGATAGAGAAAGGGAGTATCCGGGACATCAAAAAGCTGTAACTGCTTTAGCTTTTAAAGATGCCATTATCTGAGTGTAACTTGTTTTTTTGCTGCTATATAAATTTGTTATTTGCTCATGGTTTTGTCTGTTATCCCGATCCGAGTCCTTGGAAGTCCTAATAGATTTGTCTCAAATCGGTTAAAATCACTTCCAGCGAGGAATCACAACGAAATAATGTTTTAATATAATCCTTCGTTAAATTGTCCAGTAAAGAGTAATCGCTACTATACATCGTAATTTATATGAAATCTGTCAGTTTTTGATATTTTTAGTTGAATTTGTTAGAATTTGGATCTTCAGTGCGCAAATCTTTGTATTTCTTTAAATTAGTCAATTTTCCTTCATTGCCTACCTGAGTAGAAAGTTTTGTCTGTAAAGCTTGTCATTGCCTTTTAACTTCAGTCCAAGGCTAGGCATAATTTTTACTGCAACGCTTAAGTTTAATTTTTTTGTCTATTCCTCTGCTCAATATTTAGAAGAAATGATCTTGAAGTAAAACCTAATAATAAAGACAGATAGGCAAATGGAGACAAATTTAATATACGACGGGGCAAGTTTAAACATTTACTTGGGTGAACTTTGGGTTTCATAACTTTCCTTTTTGATTACTTTTTTGGAAATTCGTTGTTGAGCCTTTGGGTTTGATCCACATCGACAATCATACTCTTTCTCTAAGATTAGATCTTTTATTATCTTTTGGTAAAAGAAAAATCCTGCCAGAAAGCTAATCGTTGTGAGTGAGACCTGCAATTTCAATGTAATGTAAGTTGAATTGTAATTTTTTTACTTCTTATTATTAACAGATAGTAAAACGATTTCTTACATTCTTAAAGCTTTGTATGTGCTCTTTTGTAGCATAACGATTGATATATCCTTTGACTCTTAGCCAATGTATTTTACGTGAAAACGGCTTCATTGTATAACGGTACAGAACATACTATTTAACAAAACAACATTTTGGTAACATACAATTTAGTAATCACTTTTCGACGGATGTGCTAGGAGGGCATTCTGAGCTTTTACTCTTGATAAGTTTTGCATATAAAAAGTAGCCTATGATGACCGCATAAGTGGCAATCGTTACCTGAAAGCAGTTAAATATCAGGTTGCGAATAAAACTGTTTTTAGAAAGAAAGGTTGTTTTTATTTTATATATGAGTAGATGCTTACATTTGCTCTTCCCCTTATTGTTGTGCTGTTGAAATATCGGCTTAATCCTTTGAGCTTAGGATCGTCGTATTTATTTAATTCATCTTCTCCTGACATTTTTGTCAAATTGATTGATATTGGCTGGTTTTTTCCGATGTCGCAATCCATCCGAAACACTGAAGATACCTTTTTAGATGCTACTGATCTTATGGAATTTAATATTTAGAAAAAAAATTAAATGTTTGCATGAAGGTAATTTTTTTCGAAAATTGTCATATTCCATGCAGTGTGTGCAAATTTTCACGTTTCAAATAGTCCTGTTTAGTGCTATTTTTTATTTTTTTCTTGAAAACATTTTTCATCATGAGATAGAATAAATGAAGCTAATTACATATAAACTTGATATCTACCAATACTAAAAGTTATGTAACATAAAAACGCTTTCTAATCCGATCGGAAAAAATCCATTTCTCAAACACATTGTATAATATGTGTAGCATGCATTCGTTAACTATCTGTAAATTAGTTCAAAAGATATTTTTCATTATAGGGGTTTATGAAAATTTATGAAAATAATCCATTCATTTCATTTCAATTTAGAATTTCTTTTTATTTTGTTGTCTGTTTGGGGCACAGCTAGATGAATGCGCATTTTCACTTAGTCAAAATACAACAGTTTTCGTTGAATTTATTCATTGATGCACTGGCTTTACGTAAACAGCGTCGTTTTTCCTGCTCTAGAAATGCGATACCGCATTACAATTCCGTATTAAATAAGAAATAAATTTAAATACATTATCAGATTGCTCGTCGGGTTAGTGAACTGAACAGTAATAGTGATCTGCGGTTTTATGAAACAAAACGGAGTAATCATTGAAAGCTATCAGTATATAGAAAAAAGGCGTGTTTTTCGCATATACGGGATGCACTGATAATTATTGAATTAGTTACTTATTAAATAATAAAAAGACTCCATTTATTCAGGTCTAACACGGTCTCGGCCTAAGAAATAAAAGAGGCGAACGGTTAACTACGGTTTTGCCAAGAAAATAAACTTGTCATTAAAAACTTTCTATAAACTGCCTAAAAGATGCCTGTACACCTGGAAGGCACCGGGAGATTCAGAAAACAACATCATAAGAAATCAAATAGACTATACAGGGTGTTCGACAGGGAACCGCCGCGATGATCGATATCTGGCAAACTGTAATTAGGAAAAATTGGAAAGTTGGACAGTGTGCCGAAGTCATTGGGGGAAAGTGGTCTAAAATATTTTCAAGATGATATCTAGTTGGTTTTATGGTTGTAGAGCCGAGGTTGGAACTTCTTATTAATTAATTTTTAATATTAAATTTTTGAGCTAACAAACAGTTCTACGACAGAGTGAACCGAAGATAGGTCGGTTTTTCGGTCTTAGTGCTTTAAAGAAGTAGTATCAATCCTTTGTAGTTTGCTGGGTGTTGTCCGCTACAAAGGAAGCATGCTGCTGGTGTCTCTGCTCTGTGAGGTGGTTGTGTCATGCTCTCCTGAGCATTTTACATATCGGTGTGGGCAGAACTGTTGCAGAACCCTTTTGTGTGCCCATATCTTTGACATCTTGTGCATTGGACGATTTGCTTTGTTTTTTTAGGTGACTCAATAATTACTGTGGCTCCTGCTAGCTTTGTTAATTTATAAATGTCTTGGTTGTTTTCCTTCGGTTCCAAATCGACAAAAAACAATGGCATGTCCCTCTTGGTGGTTCTGTGTCGCGCATTTATTACGTTTCTCATTTGGTGGTCGTATTCTTCGATATTAGTTTTAAGATTTCCAAGAAGGGAGTTGGGTACTCTGAATGCTCGATAAGTTTTGTTTAAGTTGATACATGTGGAAAGCAGCGTTAGTATCGCTTAGGTACCTAACAAAATTCCTATAGAGCTTTCGATCGTACTAGGAGTTAGCTTTATTTGTTTATTGTTGACCGTTTTATAGGTGACTTTAGAAAGTAAATTTCTCTCTCGAAGATTATAGATTAGTATTCGTTATGTCTGATATGAAGATTGGTGGTGGTTTAGAGTTATTGCTGATGTCGGTGCTTCGGCAATATTATCTTGTTTGGATAATGCTTGGAAGCGATTAGTTTGTTCTCTTATATAATTTGGATTTTTATTTGTATCCGGGGGCCTGTCAGATAGGCTCACACGTTTGTTTGGTCTTGTATTAGTTTGCTACTGTTCTCTGTCTACTTGACTTCGGACGAATACTAATAAGGGAGGTACTGCTGAATTCGTAGCTTCTTGGGCAGTTCTACGAAAAATATTGGATGGCTGATGAAATCTTAACACTCATGAATACGAGAACATTTAAGGACAAAGATAAAGATCAATACAACCAAGTCAATATTCTAATTAAGAACAAGATCTGCAAAGCAAAACAACATTGGCTGGAGGACAAATGTACGGAAATCGAAGAACTTGCAACTAAATATGACTCATTTAATATGCATAAGAGAATGAAAGAACTTAGCGGTGGCAATAACAGAAAACAAGCGTCCATACTTAAAGATCAGCAAGAGGATATTGTGGTTGACATAAAGGAAAAGCTGAAAATATGGCAACAATTTGTTGAAGACCTATTTGAAGACGAGAGGCACACCATGCTTTGAAAACTTACAAGAGGGGACATGACCAAGAATAACCGAGGAAGAAGTGATTCATGCTATCAAATCGTCGAAGAAGCAGAAATCACCTGGACCAGACGAGATACCGTCAGAGCTACTGAAGCTGATACAGGCAGCGTAGATACATCCACTAGTGAACTTATTCAACAAAATCTATATATCCAGCATAATACCGCAAGACTGGCTGATGTCGGCGTTTGGTACCCTACCGAAACCAAAAAAAGCACATGCCATGCATCAGTCTGATGAACCACCCACTGAAGATTTTTCTCAAAATTATACATAATGGAATTCACAAAAAACTGGAGGAAGAGATCAGAGCAACACAATTTGGGTTTCGAAGTGGGTACGGAACTAGAGAAGCACATTTTGCTTTTAATATCTTAGTTCAGAGGAGTTTAGATGTAAACCAGGATATACAGGGTGATTCAAAATTGGCGTCATTCTTCTGGAGGTGTTGTCTGGCGCAGTTATAGGAGTACAGAAAAAATAGTAAAATAAATTAATTGTTATTAAAAACTGAGAAATTTGCAAAAAACGATATCAGAAATACGGCAGCAATGTTTTTCAAGGTAATCTACCTAATTAACATTGCGTCTGTGGCCTTGTAACCTGTGGCTTCGTAATTATTTAAAACTCCGGTAACCATGGAATTATACAGACTGACAATAAGATAGACAAGGATAAACGGTAAATTGAACAAGATTTGTTGACAAAATGTCAACCTTTTCTCATAACCTCGAATATGGGTGTTTATAAATAAACCCTACAACACCAAACATTTGAATGGTTAACTCCAAACAAGCTAGTGCCTGTGTAATCTCCTTATTATCCACTCTTATCAAACAACTTCTCGTATTCAGTTAATTAACTCCTGCTCCATTTGTATCTCCTTGTGCTGTGTGTATCGTACAAACGTGGTAGGAAAGTAGCCCTTCCTCAGTATTTATTTGGTGCTTGGAAAAGTGTCAGTTATTGTGCTCTGAGTGCCCCTGGAAGGCCCTGATTCGGTTATGTCCAATACGTGTTACTCTGTGC